TGGTTTTAATTTGCGTTTCCCTAGTGCTTAGTGACGCTAAGCAATTCTTACATACCTGAAGGCCACTTGTATGTCTTCTTTTGAGAAATGTCTACTCAGGTCCTTGACCTATTTTTAATTAGCTTTTGTTTAAGAATAATTTTTAACTGGGTTATTTGTGTCCTTGCTATTGAGTTGTGTGAATGTCTTATATATTTTGGGTCACAACCCCTTTATCAGATGTATAACTTGCAAACATTTTCTCCCAAGCAAGATAGATTTTTTTTATTCATTCAGTGACAATCAAACCTTGCTCTACACTGGGCACTGTTCTTGGTCCTGGGATCCATCACTAAACAAAGCAGACAGAAGTCTCAGCAATGTGAAGCCAGGGAGCAAGTAATCAATGGAATAAATACATAAATTACATAGTGTGTTAAATGTGCTATGGGGAAAAGAATGAGCAGAGCAGTCTGAGAGAGCCTGGAAGAGGGCGGCCAGTATGGTGACCTCTGAGTAAAACTTGAATGAGATCAAGTGGACTAGCCAGGGGCAGATGAAGTCAGGCAGAAGGAACAGCCAGTGCAAAGGTCCTGAGGTGAGTGCTTGTTCAACATGATGAGGAACAGCAAGGAGGCCAACAAAGTGTGAGCGGTGTGAGCAAGGGGAAGTCATAGAGGGTCAGGGAGAGGTGACTGAGGCAGATATCGGGGGCTGCTCACACAGTCCTTCACAGGGTACCCTGAACCAGCTGCATTCCAAGGTAGATTTCGGGGGAACCGGAAGAACCCGGGCCTGCCTTTAATCTAGTGCTGATTATGTGGGCATGTTGTCTGTGAAAATTGGACAAATTGAACACTTAAGATTTGTATACTTTAATACCTCATTAAAAAATCCAAGGCAGCCTGTAGTCCCGCGCCTTTGGGAGGCTGAGGTGAGTGGATTGCCTGAGCCCGCGGGTTCGAGACCCACCTGGGCAACGAGACCTCATTTCTACAATAAATCAAAAAATCAGCCGGGCATGGTAGCGCATGCCTGTAGTTCCGGCTACGTGGAAGGCTGAGGCGGACGGATCGCCGGAGCCCAGCAGGTCGAGGCTGCGATGGCCAGGAGCGGCCACTGCACTCCAGTCTGGGCGACAGAGTGAGACTCCAACTCAAAAAGAAAAAAGAAAAAAAAAAAAATTCAGGGAAGAAGGAAGAGAAAGGAAAGGGAAGGGAAAGAGGAAGAAAAGATGGAAAGGAGGGAGGGAAGAAGGGAGGATCAGAGAGAGAAGCGAGGGAGACAGGGAGAGAGGCAGGCAGAGAGCAGGCCCCTGGTTAGGCCGGTTCTGACTCTTCCCAGCCCTAGATGGTGAGTGGTAACTTGGATCACAAAACTGCTCACATTTAATAAGATACTGAATAGAAAGCCTCAGGAACACAGTAGGTGCTCAGTAAACAGTGAGACAGTAAGCTGCTCCCTTCTGGTGTGTGAGCACCTCGGGGTGCTGTTCTTGTCCCAGGTCCCAGGACAGAGCCTAGCTGTCTGTGTTTGCTGGATTCATTTGAAGTGTCATCGTTAGGACAGGAGGGCTTGTTAGGAAATTCCATCTTCCTCGCGGCTCTCAGCATAGAGGACGGCATGGCCCCAGGAACAGGCTCTGTGCCAGGCTCTTTGGCCACAGCTGGTAGAAAAAGACTCTCCAGAGAGCGCTCAGCCAAGGCACACTCTGCCTCCCTGGCAGTCCCAGCCCAGCACTGAGGAAGGGCGTGCAGAGGCTTTCTCTGGGGGAACAGCTGGACCCAGGTACCTCTAGCTCTGAGAGGGTCAGCCTGGTTTGTACCTATGACCTTTGCCCTGACATTTGTTTCCTCTTTTCCACAAACAAGAGAACTCCCAGCCCTTGCCTTCACAGCACTCTCTGCTTGTAAAGAATTGCAGAGGCAGGATGGTGATAACAGCTTCTGTTTAAGAACATGGAGGAGCTACTCACTCCATACAATGGTCCTATAGGGTGGGCACTGCTATTTATCCCCATTTTACAGATAAAAATATACTAAAGCACCAGTTGGTCAAGTCAGAATAATGATTGCTGAAATTTTTATTTAAATCACGTAGTCTACTCAATAATCCTCTGTGTTGAGGATTGCCATCGTCGCCAGTTTAAAGAAAAGGAAACTGAAACACAAAGAAGGGAAGTACTTTGCCCAGGATGACACCACTAGGAAACAGCAGAGCCAGGACCCATGCCTGGGCAGGTTGGTGAAGTCCAATCACCCCACCACTGCTCCACAGCTTTTGAGCCTTGGGCCTTGGGCCTTGGGCTTTGGAGCTATCCTGGCCCAGAATCCCAGCTCCACAAACCCAGCTCCACAAGCTCAGTTACCACGCTGGGTCTCAGTTTACTCGTCTCTAAAATGGGAGTATTTATGGTGCTTTCCTTGAGGGATGCAGCGAGGATGACGCGTGAGGGCGCAGACAGAGCACTTGGCAGCGAGCCTGAGCAGGAATGGCTGCGGGCACGTTCGTTGTCCTTGTCCTCACTCTCCCTGCCTCTTAGGATGCATCAGCATTCTCCCTGGCAGTATGCTCAGAGTGTACCCTTGCAGGACCAGCCCCATGGAAATTCACCACTTGTGGGGACCACAGAGCCAGTCTAGAGACTCAGTTAAGCTCGGTTTGGACTAAAAGCCCACCCCGGTGAAGACCAGCTTAGACAGGTCTCTTTTCTGGGCATTTCCTCATCTATGAACTGTAGTTTGTTCTATTTACTGTGGAGGGGTTTTGTGAAGATTAAATCGCTCCGATTCAGCCGGGCTAGGTGGCTCAGCCTGTAATCCCGCGCCTTGGGAGGCTGAGGTGAGTGGATTGCCTGAACCCGTGGGTTTGAGACCCGCTCAGGCAACTTGGTGAGACCTCACCTCTACAATAAATCAAAAAAATTAGCCGGGCATGGTAGCGCGCGCCTGTAGTTCCGGCTACTTGGAAGGCTGAGGCGGAAGGGTTGCCGGAGCCCAGCAGGTCGAGGCTGCGGTGGCCGGGAGCGGCCACTGTACTCTAGTCTGGGTGACAGAGTGAGACGCCAACTCAAAAAGAAAAAAAAGAAAAAATAACTCCAACTCCACCTTTGATTCTCAGCTGGGGGTCCTGGAAAGGGTGGTGCCTGAGACAGGCGTCAGGGCTGAAGCACATGCCTTTGTGACCAGCCACTGTGCTTGGACTGTCTGGGACTCACCATCGTTCTCAGGGCTCCCTGCCCTTCCCTGCCCCGCATCTTCCTTGTCTTCCCCCTCTCAGTAGGTTTGACTAATAAGAGGTACAAGCCGGGCACGTCTCTGCATCTCCATCTGCTTGTGGTTAGGTCTACCAGGCTGCCTCTCCAGGTGGCTCCAGCTCCCAGCAACAGCCTTGCTGATGCCAGCTCTGGGCTCTGCCCTCCCCCATCTCCGCCCCCAAGGGCTGGTGTCGACTGTCTCTTCTTGCATCTCCTGGTCTCCTGTGTGGCCTCTCGGTCAGCTAATTATGTACCCCCATTAAATTCCTTCTTTTTTCTTATGTTGAGTGAAAGACTTCATTCATTCAAGGGTTCCTACTCTATGGTTCTATTAAGTTCAAGACAGGAAAGCTCTCTATGGTGATAGAAATCAGAACAGTGGCTGCCTCAGGTAGGAGGGGTCACCGAGAAAGGGCCAGAGGGAATTTCCTTAGATGATGGTAATGTTTTATACCCTGATTGAGGAGTTGGTTACACAAGGGTGTACATTTGTGAAGACTCATTAAACCATCCACTTAAAAACCTGTGTATTTAATTGTGTGTAAATTGCCCCTCAATGAAATCAGTTTAATAAGAAGAAATCGCTGTTTAAATACCAAGAGTGTTTTCTAATTTCCTGGTTAGATCCTGATGGGAACACAATTTAAATTTTTTTTTTTTTTGAGTCGGAGTCTCACTCCATCGCCCAGGCTGAAGTGCAGTGGCACACTCACGGCCACCGCAGCCTCAACCTACTCCGCTCAAGTGATCCTTCCACCTCAGCCTTCCAAATAGCTGGAACTACAGGCACTCACCACCATGCCCGACTAACTTTTTGATTAATTGTAGAGATGAGGTCTCGCCAAGTTACCCAGGCTTGTCTCGAACCCATGGGCTCAGGCAATCCTCTCAACCTGGCTTCCCAAAGTGCTAGGATTATAGGCATGAGCCACTGCATCTGGCTATAATTTTAATTTTTAAACAAACACAGGTAGACCATGGAGGAGAATGTAAAATTTGTGGGTTTTTTTTCTTTAAACGATAACACTTGAAACTTCAAAAGAATTTCACACTTGGGTTGGTTTATTTGGGGCTGTACCCTCTATCCATCCCCAAGGGGTCGCCTTCATTCTCACTGCTTTTCTCTCGTGAAAACGCTGGGAAGCCTGGCCTGTGTGAAGTGCTCAGTGTCCAGCATATGGTGGGTGCTCAGGAAAGGTTAGTTCTTAGTAAGGCGAGTGAGGCTTCATGGGTTGCTTGAAGGCTTGCTCTCTGACTTTAAGATCGTGTGATTTCACCTTGTGAGGTTCAGAAGGAAGTTAGCCCCTGGATTCACCCCGGGTGGGAGGGACTTCTCAGACAGCAACGTTTGGCATGCAGGATCACACATAGGCTTGTATTCAGGGATCATCTTACAAAACTCCGGGAAAGGAAGCAATAGATTCAGAACATCTGTGTGCCTCCTCTTCACCACACTCCAGAAAGAAGGCCAGTCCAGCCTAGCAGCTGCTGCAGCCTCGTTATTAATTAATTACTAATTATTATTATTCTCTTTTGCCCAGGGGAATTTAGAGAGAAAGCTTGCCTGTGTGCATGCTTGATAAAGGCTGTGTGTAGGCAGAGAATGGACCAGAAGATGCTAAAAACCCTGGCCAGCCTCCCAGGCTGTGAGTTAGAGGAAGGGGGACTAGGTCATGCACCCCCTGCTGTGTCTCAAGGTCCAGACAGACTGGGCAGCTTGTGAATATCCTTGTCCTCCTGGCCTGGATGGTGGACCCAAGCTGGATGTTGCCTGCAGCCAATGGCGTGAGCAGGGGCCATCCTGCCATCAGCCCAGAGCCCTGGCTCAGGGCCACCTGCTGGGAACGGTGGGCAGGGAGTTTCCACTCCTAGCCTGGCTCTAGAAGGCGCTGTTCTGGGGGCTGCGGCCCCTGGCGGGTGGGCAGGGCCTGGGCAGGCACAGGCGGCGCTGGGTCTCCAGGCGGCAAAATCGGTTCTGGTTGGACACCCGGGTGGCCACACCCAGCCCGCAGGTGGTTGAGCAAGGGCCCCAGGCTGTGCTCCATTCAGGGCAGGGGACACCAGGGGGTGGAGGAGCGACAAGACCAGAAAACTGGGACCCTAGGGGAAAAGAACAAGGAGTCAGCACTGCAAGGTCAAGACTTGGCAGCTAAATCAACCTACCCGCTAGGGGGTCACAGCAATCCTGGTCAAGTGTAAGCTCTCTGGACCTCAGTTTCTTCTTATAAATTTCTTAACAGTTGATGTGATTGAATAAAGTAACGGGCTTAGCACAGTGCCTGGTCCTTGTAGTCTCCCCCAAAACGTTGTTTATTGAGCAACTAGTATGTTGCTGGACACAACGATCTCCAGTGGCTTCTTCGTTCAACATACTCCACAGCTCCTCTGATAAACAGCATCTGACAGGTGGGAGGTGCCCAGCCTGTGTGCAGTGGTGCCTTGACCTGCTGGCAAAGATGCTAGATTCCGAGATTCTTGAGCCTGGAGCAAGATGGCAGGTTCCTTACAGTCTAGCTTTTCCTCCTCCCCAAGTCTCCTTCTCTGTTAATATTTTGCTGTCCTTCCCCCAGGACGCACTGTCTGGAGCCTTTTTTGTTTTATTTTTGAGTCGAAGTCTCACTCTGTCGCCCCAGTTGGAGCGCAGTGGCGCACTCACGGCCACCACAGCCTCAACCTGCTGGACTCAGGCAATCCTTCCACCTCAGCCTCCCAAGCAGCTGAGACTATAGGTGCGTGCTGTCACACCTGGCTAATTTTTCGGATTTATTGTAGAGATGAGGTCTCACCAAATTGCTCAGGCTGGTCTTGAACCTCTGTGCTCAGGCGGCCCTCTCACCTCAGCCTCCCAAAGTGTTGGGATTATAGGTGTGAGCCACCACGCCTGGCTTTGGAGACATTTTTGATTGTCACAATTGGGGAGGTTGGCTGCTGACATCTCACGTATAGAGGCCAGCAATGTGAAACATTCCCTGGGGCATGGGAGCCACCCCTCTCTCAGCAAATAATTACTCACCCAAACGTCACCAGTACTGAGGTTGAGGAACTGGCTTCTACCCACATGTGTGTACTGTGTATGCATGTAAATGTGGAGATATACCTATATGCACACACATATGTACACTCCTTGTAGAGGTCAGATTGGAGATACGGTTTCTTATACAGCTTTTTATACCTAAGGTGAACTCGATGGCATTCTCCTACGTATCTAAGCGGATCTCTCCCATTCCATCACAGAGATAATGACAGCTACCCCTAATGTAGTACTGTGTGCTAGGCACGATTACAGCTGCTTTATTTGTAGGGACATACATAGTTCCCAAAACTCCACGAGGTGGATGCTCTTATGATTCCCATTTTACAGTTGGAGAAATTGAGACACAGAGAGGTTAAGCGACTTTCCTAGAGTCACACAGTGAGGAAGTGGTGGAGCTGGTGCAGATTCCATGCACCTAATCCCCCCTGCCCCACAGCCTCTCACAAGGGGCAGCAGCATTTATGAAACCCACCTCCTCTGTCTGGTTATCCTTTTTTAAAGGTCACATTTATGTAATAACAGTAATTTTTAAAAGCAACATAGCAACAATAAAATCTCTGACACTGAAGAGGTTCCGGTGAAGGTAACTATCTTTTCTCCATCTCTGGCCCCCGCCCTCAGGCCCATGTCCCGGGACCACCACACACTTGCCTGGTTCATCTTGAGTCCCTCTTTGTATACACCCAAAGAATAATAAGTTAATAATATTGCCCATTATTACTATGCATCAACATATACATAGTATATGTATTATACTACATAGTATACCTCTATGATATTATATACTACATAGTATACCTTTATGATATTATATACTACATAGTATACCTCTGTGATATTTTATCATAGCTCTGCTGTGAAATGTGAGACTTTGGTTCAAGCATCCCCGCCCTCCCTTCACCTCCCAACTCTGCCACCCAGTTTCTATTTTTCATCATTTATGATTTTTTTTTTTTTTTTTGAGTTGGAGTCTCACTCTGTCACCCAGACTGGAGTGCAGTGGCCGCTCCCGGCCACCGCAGCCTCGACCTGCTGGGCTCCGGCGATCCTTCCGCCTCAGCCTTCCAAGTAGCTGCAACTACAGGTGCGTGTTACCACGCCTGGCTAATTTTTTGATTTATTGTAGAGATGAGGTCTCACCAAGTTGCCCAGGCGGGTCTCAAACCAGCAGGCTCAGGCCATTTATGATTTTAAATGATGCATTTTAGGATTGCCTGAGCCCGGGGGGTCGAGACCAGCCTGAGCAGCTTGGTGAGACCTCATCTCTACAATAAATCACAAAGTTAGCATGCCTGTAGTTTCAGCTACTTGGAAGGCTGAAGCGGAAGGATCGCCTGAGCCCAGCAGATGGAGACTGCAGTGGCCCTGAACATGCCACTGCACTCCAGCCTGGGCGACAGAGTGAGACTCCAACTCAAAAATAAAATAAAATAAAATAAAATAAATGATGTATTTTAACAGCTGCTTCTCATTCTGTCCATTCTAAAGAGACCTGGTGACCCTCCGCTCCTCTTTCCTCCCATCCCTTCTGCTGCGTCCCTGTTTCCAGGCACCCAAGAGGCCCAGTCCCATCCCCATGCCCCTTCCAGGCAGACGTGGTACCCCCAGGGGGCCCCTGCACTCACCTCTGGCTGAGAGGGGCTGGACCCCCAGCCCCGATCCCTGGTCGCACACCCACTTGGGGCAGCACCTGCCTGGAACCTCGACCCTCCGGGGGTGGGGGCAGTCCCAGCTGGGCAGCCGGACGTCCTCATTGCACAGTGGGATGCAGGTGACGCCGCCATCCTCGCAGCGGCAGCGGATCCTGCAGTGGGGCTGGAAAGTCTCCCCTTCCTGGTACAGACGGCCATTCAGCTCACAGCCCTCCTCGTCCTCTCCCACTGCAGAGAAGAAGCCGGACCATCAGTGACTCACCGCTGCAGGGCCTGCTTTGCAGAGCTGCCCAGTCACCCCCGGAGAGGTGGTGAGCTTGTAAGATCAGAGCACTGCCCAGTGACATGGCGGCATGCATCCCCCACACCAGCCGGCCTAGGGCCTGCAGCAAGACAGAGGCATCCTGGACCCTGGATCAAGGTTCATGGAAAGGCTGGCCTGGCTTGATCTCAGCTCTGCCCTTTCTTAGCTGTGGATCTTATCCTAGCAATTTCACTTCTCGCCTCAGTTTCCTCATCTGCAAAAAGGGATATAACGGTCCTTACTTCACAGAGTGGTATAGACTAAATGAAATGATATATACAACCACCTCAAAATAAAGGAGGCCTTCAATAGGTCCTAGCTACTCTGTTACCATTAGTATAATTACTGTATGTTAATAATATTTAACCTCACTGAGATTTCTTGCCCACCTGCTATGTTCCAGTCATTACTGTCAGGTCAGGGATCAACTAGATGGCTGTGTGACTTTAGGCAAATTACTTATCTTCTCTGAGTGGCCTGAGCTACAGCAACAATAAGAACAGTAATCTGTGCCTTCAGGTTATATGGGATCCCATGCACATGGCATCTAGCACCGTGCAAGGCACATAGTAGGTGCTCGGGAAACACTCTTTGAGTGAAACCCTCTAGATATGGTTGCCGTGACCACTTCCTCCACTGGACGTGAACTCCATGAGGGCTGGGGCTGAGAGTGTTCATCCTCACATCTCCAGGGTCCGCTTAGAAACTAAATGGGGATGCACAGGACCTTGGGAAATGCCCTTGGGCGAATACCTGGCCCAAGGCTCAACACTAATAAAACAGTTCCAGAGATATTAATTGTCCCCTCTTGTATGCCAGCCACCGTGCTCCTAGATCAGGATAGTTCATGCCTCACCGGACTCCTGGGCTAGTTGGGGGACAAGTGTGAATGTCACCCCCTCCAAGACAGAGCAGTGTAAGTGCCCTGGAGAGACGTGTTGAGCTGCTCGGGAAGACAAAGGGACAGTGTGCAAGAGCTAGTGGCATTAGCTGAGTCGGAGGAAGGACTTGCTGGCGAGAGATCCTCCCAGGTCTTCTGAGAAAAAAACCCAGTAGGTCCATCTGCATGCAGGGCTTCCAGAATCACACACACCTGGGTCCAAACCCTCGCTCTGCTTGCTAGCTGTAGGACCTGGGGCAAGTTCCTTTTCCTCTCTGAGTCTCAGTACTGGTCAGCCGGAGGGTTAGATGAGCCAGTGTGCTGCCCATCCCTGGCTCACTGCAGGAGCTCCATAAACAGGAGGGGTCAGGCTTCTCTCTCCAGGGGGCTTATCTCTCCAGGAGGCCAGGCCAGGCTCCCTTTCCTTGCTTTCTCCAGGCCATAGCTTTTGGGCCCCAAATCCCTTTCCCTTTCATCCTGGACCATGTGGCTGCTGGTTTTCTAGAAACTGCAGGGGTGGCTGCATCGTCTTCCCCAGCCCCAACCTGGCTAAGCCCGAGTCTCCCAGACTGATTCATCCAGGGCCTCTGCATTGCTGGGAGGACCCAGTAAGCAGAGGGATTCCTAGGGAAATCAACTGAAGGGGGGATCATTTTAGCAAGTTTCCTGCACCTCCCCTGGGGTCTCCAGCAGAGAGTGGGTTGGGGTTAGGAGGTGGGTTGGAGAGAGGGTCCCTGGGCAGCCACTGGTGCCAAACCCCACAAGATCCCTTCAAACCTACAGCTCTTGTTAGTTCCTCACCTTCCCATGCACACTATGGCTACCAAACCGTACTCCTCTTCTTTCAGACCCTCTCTAATGTCTCTCCTCCTGCAGCCTCCCCCAAATAAGGCCTTCCTCTGAGTTCCCAAGCCCCCCCACCCCCCGGGCACAGAACACAGTCTCGTCATCTGGTGATTCCTGCATCCTTCTTTCCACTGGGAGCTCCTTGCAGGGGCAGGAACAACAAGTTTGGGTTTTGAAATTTTTTTAAACCTCCAGCCACTTGCAAGCTGTGTGACTTTAGGCAGGTGATATAACTTTCTAAGCCCCAGTTCCCTTATCTGCAAAATAGAGACAACAATAGGACCTATCTCAATATTAAAATGAAATTATGTACATTAATGTATTATTCATTCATGCAACAAATATTTATTGAGTGCATATGATGGGCCAGGAATTGCTCCAGGCACTTGTGATACAGCAATGAAAAAACAGGCAAAAATCCTGCCCTCACTGGAGTTTTTACTCTAGTGAAAATAAACATAATCAACAAGTCGAGTTTTTCATGTCAGATGGTGATGAGTGTTAGAAAAATAAAGGAGGGTTAAGGACTGAGAGGAGGGTTGCAGAAGCCCGCTGTGCAGATATCTGAGGGTAAGGTGGTAAAGGAAACAGCCAGTGCAAAGGCCCTGAGGCAGGGGTGTGCCTGGGGTATTTGAGGAACAGTGAGGAGCAGGGAGAGAGGGGGGAAATGAAGTCAGAGAGAAGGAGTAGGATCCTGTGGGGCCTTGTAAGCCACTATGAGGACTCGGACTTCTCTGAGGAGACAGGAAGCCACTGGAGGGTTTGGGGTGGGGGAGGAGTATGATCTGGTTTATGAGATCTGACTTAATGAGATCCCTCTGGCTGCTGTGTTGAAAATGGACCAGGGGCAAGGATTGAAGGAAGTAGGCGGTCGAGGGACTGCGGCAAGATCCAGGCAAATGATGGGCTCAGACCAGGGTGATAGCCATGGAGGGGCTGAGACATGTCGGGTCTGGAAATATCACAAAGAATATACTGGGCGATAGTATGTGGGAGGTGAGAAAAAGATGTCAAGAATGACTCTAAGTTGGATGTGGTGGCTCACACCTATAATCCAAGCACTTTGGGAGACTAAGGCAGGAGGATCCCTTGAGTCCAGTAGTTTGAGATCAACCTGGGCAACATAGCAAGACTCTGTCTTGATTAAAAAAAAAAGAATAGCCAAGCATAGTGGCAGGTGCCTGTCTGTAGTACTAGCTGCTTGGGAGGCTGAGGCAGGAGGATCTCTTGAGCCCAGGAATTTGAGGTTACAGTGAGTTATGATTGTACCACTGCACTCCAGTCTGGGTGACAGAGTGAAACCCTGTCTCAAAAAAACAAAGAATGATTCCCAGGTCTTGAGTCTGAGCTGTGGAAAGAATGGAGATGCTCTCAGGGGACTGGGGAAGCTGCCAGGCTGGGGGTGGGAGAACAGGAGCCCCGTGTTGGACATGACATTGCTATGATCATAAATCTGCAGGACAGTACATGACCTGGGGGTCGGCCCTCAGTGAAGGGTGGGTGAATGGGCAAGTGAGAGGGGAGATTTTTGGCAATGCGTTCCCTGCGGAGCCTAAGACCTAGGCTGAGCCTCCGTGAGGTCTTAGCTGGACCCTGACTCACCTGTGAGGCTCACCAGCTCCCAGCTTCTAAGTGTGGTTCAAAATAGTCAACATTCTTGAGCACCCACCATGTTTCCAGACCAGGGTGGGGGTTGTAAGAAGACCAGAGACCAAGTCAACCTTGGCCTGCAAGTGTTGAAGTCTGAATTAAGATGGAATAAGGAAAGTCCCTTAATAAAGTTATTGACAGTAGCAGCTGCTATGGACTAATCACATGCTGTCTGTCAGGCAGTTGAGCAATGTAGCCTGAGATTGTGGAGTGAGCTCCCCGAGTTCAAATCCCAGCTCTGCCACCTATGAGCTCTGTAACCTTGGGCAAGTTGCCTAACCTCGCTGTGCCTTTTTTTCCCATTTATTAAGTAAGAGTACCATGGATACCTACTTCGTGCGGTTGTTGCATGATTAAACGAGTTGATATTTGCGAAGCCCTCAGTGCCTGGCACTCAGTAAGCACCATGCAAGCGCCGGATAAGCAAATCCTGCCGAGTGTTGTTGATATATGTTTTATATGTATCTCAGAAAATCTAACACTTTGTAAGCTAAGCCCTGCTTATCTCAGTTTCTTCTTTAGATACATTTCAAAAGCAATCATCTGTATTTATATAACAAATCATCCCTTTCTCCTTATAATACTCCTCCAATCAAGTCAAGCATTAAACAAGGATTTATTACTGATAACTTTCTGTCTGTAAATTGTATTGTTATTTTGAACGAGGGTTTTCCTATTGACAGATTCATTGTTAGTGATCCATGTGCTACTCTGTCTCTCTCTCATTCTTATTTTTATAAAAGTGTGACATGCCTGTAGATGACAGAGGTAAATTGCTCTACAACAAAAAAAGAACAACCTCTTGCCTCTTTCTATTTCTTGAAAGCAGTGGTTCTTGACTGGAGATTTTGCCCCCTGGGGACATTTGGCACCATCCCCACTTGGGGGTGGGGAGGGCTGCATCTAGTGGATGGGTCTCAGGGGCGCTGCTAAGTGTCTTTCTATGCCCAGGACAACCTTTCCACAGCAAGGAATTCTCTGGCATCAGGTCACTAGCGCAGGCTTGCGAAGCCTGCCCTGGTGCATCAGAGGGTGAGAAAGTAACCTGCTCAGGTCACTGGGAAATAGCAAACCCAGGATTCCCAGTGTGTTCTGAGGGCTCCCACTCTGGGAAGAAGACAGAATGGAATGTTCCTTTAGAACATCTCGCAGGTCCCAAGCTGTGTGACATGAAGCATGTCGGTTAATGTGAATGAGTCGCAGTTTCCTCATTGGGTCAATTTACCCTCGTAAGATTATTGCAGGGATGATGGGTCTTGGGGAGCGAGTGCTTAGCACAACGCCGGATGCATGTTATGCCCTAAGTAAGGGGCTGTACTTTTATGTTCCCCAGAGTGTTGTGAGGGTCCTGACTGGGGGAAGTTGGCTTGGGGTCTGAAAAATCTGGGAGGACTTCTCAGGGGAGAAGGTGTCTGAGCTTGGCTCTGAAAGTTGGCGATGGTTTGGACAAGTGGGAATGGGGGCACTATTCAGGTGGAGGGCAAGTCCAGAGGGGAGAAGTAGGGAGTGCCCGAGGGAGCCTTGGGCCATCAGGTTCAGCTAGAGGGGACAGTGTCCCTGGAGCGAGGGTGAAAGGAGGTACAGAGAGGAGGGCTTCTCTTTGGTTCCAGGCCCCATGACCTTGACCTCCCGTGCACCCTCCACCAGTCCCCGCAAACCTGCTTACAGAGGCACACGGCCCCCCGGCCGCTGGGGCCTGCCCCGAGCTGGCAGACCAGGCCCTGGCTGGGGTCGCAGACGTGGAGGTGGTCGCAGGGCTCCCCCAGCCGCCGTGCACACACCTGGCAGCAGCCACAGCCATCCAGCACCAGAGGTGTCCTCAGTGGACATTGGGGTGGTGGCCAGGGGCAGACACAGGGCATCGGGCAGGGCTGGGCACACACCTGAAGAGACAGAGACTTCACTCAGCTATGGGCTTCTGAGGAGGTCAGGGAGACCCTCACAAGCCACTGCCTCTCTGCCTGGCTGGGCAGTGTGGGGTCCACACCTTGGCCTCAGAGTCACAAAGGCGTGGCCTTGAGGCCGCACAGTCCTGTGGCATTTCCTAAGAGGCAGTATGGTGCTGTGGTTATGAGCAAGGACTTTGGACTAAGTTCCAGTTCTAACTCTGCCCCTCATTAGCTGAATTACCTCAGGGAAGTAACTTAAGCTCTCTGGGCCTTCCTCATCTTCCTTGGAGAAGTTCTTCTTTTTTTTTTTTTTTAAGTTTTCAAAGTTTATCAGGAGAGAGAAAAGACAAGGTGACATGCCAGAGCTGGGACAGGCTAAAGAAACCACTGGGGAAATTACTTAAACTCTTTGATTCTCAGTTTCTTCACCTGTAAGATGGGGACCACAGCAGTATTTAACTCAGAGGATTGTTTTGAGGAGCATGTGAAATAATGCATGGCAAACCCTGACAGGCAGTAAGTGGCTCCTGCCTTTAACTTGGATGATCATCATTGTTTTGTTTTGTTTTGTTTGAGTTGAAGTCTCAAACAAAAGGCTGGAGGGCAATGGCACGCCCTTGGCCACCGCAGCCTCGACCTGCTGGGCTCCTGCGATCCCTCCACCTCAGCCTTCCAAGTAGCCTTCCAAGTAGCCAGAACTACAGGCACACACTACCATGCCTGGCTAATTTTTGATGTATTGTAGAGACGAGGTCTCACCAAGTTGCCCAGGTGGGTCTCGAACCTGTGGGCTCAGGCAATCCTTTCACCTTGGCCTCCAAAAGTGCTGGGATTCCAGGCTGAGCCACTGAGTCCAGCCAATCATCATTGTTAATTACAACAAAGGGCTCAGCCCCTGCCCTCCAGGAGCTTGTGGAAAGGCAAAAGCTACAAACCGAGGACCAAAACGCCACGGTATGGCACATTTTCCAGAATGTGGATACTTATCTTGAGGACTGAATGAATCAAACAGTATTATGGATGGTTTTGGTCTTTGGACCAAACATGTTTTCTCACCTTGGGTACACATCCAATCAGCCAGGAAACTTGGTCAAATACAGACCCCCAATCCCTCTCTGGGTCTTGCCAAGTCAGGAGTCCCAGAGGCAGGACCCTGGAATCTGTTTTTTCAACAGGCTGTCCAGGCTTCTGAACCTTAGCTAGGCTCTCAGCCCTCAACCCCAGCCTGCCCCTTGCTCCCTCCAGGGACAGACTGGGAAACTGAGCTTTGGAGAGGGGAAGGGGCTAGCCAAAAGCCAGTGTGTTCAGTGCAGAGTTGGGAGCAGTCACAAGTCCTGCTTCCCCAGGGAGGACCTGACAACACCAGGTGGGGGTGGGCTTTTCCCGAAGTAGGGAAAAACCGAAGCCAAGGACCCAGCCCCCAGTGGTAGGGTCAAGGTATCAACCCAAGTGACCTACCTGGTTCTGCCCACCCAGGTCAGAGAAACAAACTATAAATCAGATATGTCTATCTGAAGGTGGGGACCAAGAGGAAGGGAGAGTTCAAGGTGCTCCTAGTGGCCCCATCTGTGGGGGACCAAGAGTTAGTTCAGCAGGACCCTTAGGGACTAGAGGTTTTAATTAGATAAGGGGTGGCTTACAGTTTAGAAAGATGAAATTATTGACCCCATATTCCCTGTGTGGCCTCAAAGCAGGCAATGAGCCCTTTGTCCTAGCTACCCCACCCCTAGGCACCCCCAATCGGGCAAACCTTTCAGTTGCCTGCAGTTTCCACCATGGCCACCAGGGGCCGCCGCAAACTGACAGACCACCCTCTGGTGGGAAATGCAGACCCGGAGGCCACGGAGCCCACTAAGACTGCATGCACTCCTGGAAGAGGGTCGCGCGTGGCCGTGTGCCTGGCTGCCTTACAAGGGTCCAGCTCCCGGCTTTGCAGAATTTCCAGATTCTAGAGAAATGGCCTGGCTTCGTCCCTCGAGATGTATCTAGACTAGCAGCAGCAGTGAAAGGCGGCATCTTTGTCAACCCGAATCTGCATTTTAATAAATCCCGAGGCAATGCACATCAAACTGATCTGAGAAGAAATAGGCTGGACTTCTGGGTTCCCCTCCAAGGCAGCCGTTCACCTCCTTTGGTTCATAGGCAGTGGCTCTGACCAGAAGTGGCTCTCAGGTCCCTCCCACCTGAAAATAGAGGCACCAGGTCTGGGTGCCCACTGTGGGGTCACTCTACCGATTGGCCTTGGCAGAGCCTGAACTCCGCAGGTTCTGATCCCCAGGAGAGGTTATTGATGGTATCGGTGATTATGACTAACAGCGATCACCTTATACCATGTGTATGCCATGTGCCAATGCCAAATTTAACCTTCCAAGGTGAGGTGCCACCCTTACGCCCATTTTAAATATGGGGAAACTCAAGGTCAAAGTCGTGTAGCAAGAAGTGGAACCAAGCTTGAAAGTCAGGTTCATGTGAATCCAAGGCTCAAGCTGAAGTCGTCATCATGCCTCAGTTTCCCCAGAGCCTTGCTGTGATCGCTGGGAATAAAACTTGGAGGTAAGAGCACTGGGCAAGGAATTTTCTGGGCCAGAATGGAGATCCAAGTTCTACCATGGACTTGCTACATGACTTTGGACCCGTGGCTGAACTGCTTTGAAATGTGGAGATGAAACTGTTTTCCCCTTTATGAAATGGAGTAGAGACTGTCCAGTTCTGAGTGACAATGTGGATGAAATGAGGTCCGGGACAGATCTTGGTCAAGGTGACTTTGCTGGCTTGCATGTGTCCGCCTCCTGCCCCTATGCACAGCCTGGAGCCCAGGAGCCCACAGCCTGCCTGAAACTTGTCATTCTCCTTCTGAGGATTGTGTGTGTGGCTTCTCGTGTCCTTGATGACTGAATCTCTGTGTTTCTCTGAAGGATGCTGCCTGGCTTCCTGGGCCCGGGGAGGATGGTCCCAATGGTCTCACCCCAAAGGCTTGTCTAGGATGGCTTTACTTGGGTCATTCATAATCCCGGACCCCTTCTCCCTCCTGGAACCCCAGGTCTCTTGCTCTGACAACCCGAGCCACCCACCATGGCATCGCGTCCTGCCCATCCCCTTTGGAAGGCCAAACAGAGGACTGGATGCCAGCGGGGTTCTCGGCTTTCTCCAGCATGACTGCTTGGGACTGGGAGAGAGAAGCTTCTGCCTGTACTTCTCAAAGGAGCATGAAAATACAGTGAGATCATGGCTTGTGGTGGGGCCGGTTCCGGGGTTCCAGAAACCCAGCATTTGCTGAGGAAATGACAAGCTCAGCAGCTGTGGCCTTGGTCCCGGTGGGGGTTCGGGGGGCATAAGCTAGAATCCCTCCAATACCCATGTCTGTCCTGTGCTCCACCATGGCCCTTCTCTATTGCTCTGATGTTTCTTTGCTGTGTGACTCTGGGCAAGTTTTTCACCCTCTCTGAGCCCTACTTGACTGAAAAAACTGGGGATAAAAATTCCAAATTCCTTATGGGGTTCTTATGCGTGTCAGACAAGGTGTATGTCCTATAAGCCCTTTGATAAATGTCCCATGTGGCACTGGAGGAGAAGGCCACATATCTCCTATTCCCCTGTAGCCAGGGCCAGCAGGTCACTGACTGCCTACGGGCCTGACAACATCAATGCCCTCTCCAGTCAGCTAGACCTTCACTCAAATCCTGGCTCAGAGTTTGGCAAAGTTTGTCCTATCTTGAGTCTTCCTATTCATGGTGAGGATACATGAACATCCTTTTTAATCTGCCACAGTTCAGGGCCTGTGCTCTGAATTTTAGATGAATGATCATGCATCATCTTCACAAAGGCCCTGTGCAATTATGCCCACCCAAATGAGCAAGAAGCTGAGGCTCAGAAAAGGAAACAGTCTTGCCTGAGGTCACACAGCAGAGCTGGCCAGAGGGAGGGAAGCTTGGCTTGGGCATGGTGCCCAGACTGTGCCCAACATAGGGGCCTGGAGGAATCCTGCCAGGGGGTCTTTGGCTGTGACCTTACACTCCCACCCCGTCCACACCACACAGTCAGCAGTGCATTTCAGGGCCCAGGGCCCCCTTACCTTGGAGAGGAGGCAGAGGAGGGAGAAGGCCAGGAAGTGGGTCTGTGGTGTGCCTCTCATGTCACCGTGTCCCCCTGGAACCAGCTTTGAGCCTGAGAGGCAGGACCTGTGACTCTTTATGCTCCGGCGGCTGTGAGGTCACTCCCAGGCACACACACACACACACACATGCTCACACACACACTTGCACACGCACTCACGCACTCACACACAAACGGGCCCTTTCATTCCTTGCGTCTCTCCTTAGCCTCATAGTCCCAGCGATGAGCCCATTTACCTGAAGGTAAGTCTGTGGGGGCCACCAAGGGGGTGCCTGCCAGTGGGTGGGCGTGTGAATGCGTGTGCGTGCGTGTGAATGCCCGAGCCAGCACCGGCGCCAAGAGCCTGTGATAGCCTCGCTGGCTCCTCCCCGCCCACAGGGGCCTTGGCCCTAGCGGCTCCTATTGCTGCTGGAGCTCGACCCTAGATCCCCCCCTCCCCTGCCCGACCCCAGGGGGCCGTAGACACCGAAACATCCTGCAGACACCCCCTTTGCAGATCTGACCTGAGGCCTCCTGAGCCCCGTGGTTCTGACTCGGGGCAGCCTTGGCCCAGCCTGTGGTTTCTGGCAGGAAGACTGGCAGCCACCCAGAGGTGGGTGTGACCCGGAGCAAAATTTCCCTGGACTGCCTGTTTGCTCTTGGCAATGAGGGCCCTCCGGTGGCCTGCTTCCCAGCCCCGGAGGGTGGCCCATGGTAGGAGAGCCTGTGCAGACTGGACCTACTGTGCGCCAAGGCTTGCTGGGTGCTGCTGGGTGATCTGGTCCAACCAGATCCATTTCGTGTCACTCGGCCACCTCTGAGGTCACCTCTGGAGACGTGACACTGACCTAACAAGACCCAAATGGGACACAGTTGAGACCCCTGGGGAGGCCGAGGAAGGTCCCTTGCTCAGACCGAGGGTGAAGGGCAGCTTTCTGAAGGAGGCGCCACTTCAGAGAGCCAAGAAGAGACAGAATGAGGGAGCAGGACGTTCCTGGCCGAGGGAACAGTGTGTATACACGCCAGACAGTGGGACGTAGCATGATGGCCGACCTGTGCTGGGAACCACAGTGCCTGGTGTGGCTGGAGCTTTCTGTGCAAAGGGGAATGGCGATGTAGGTGCAGAGCAAGACACACATTTCTGCCACCAAGGTGTGGGGACATTGACATTCTGGCCACTGGAGGTGGAGGGAGTGGAAAGACATAGGCTTTGCCTGTGGAACTGGGCAGAGATAATAAGATAGGTGATGTCACAGGGTGGCTGGGCCTCATCATCCCACCAGCAGCCAAAGTGATGGAGCTGGGTGGTAGAAAGTTCCAGAATGGTTGGTTGGTGAAAAAGAAGAGCGACTTGCATGAGGGCCAGACAGTGGTTTTTAGCATGGGAGAGACACCCTCCTGGCTGCCCTCCCAGGGAAAGCAGCAATGGAGAGGGAGGCTTAAGATGAAAATTTAGGATCTGATCATTTCATGTATAAACTAAAATGTGTACTTCCCAAATAAAAACATGACCCGTTAAATTTTATTTTATTTTTCTAGACACAGGGTCTTGCTCTGTTACCCAGGCTAGAGTGCGGAGGCACAATCATAGCTCACTACAACTTTAAACTCCTGGACTCAGGTAATCCTCCCGCCTCAGCCTACCAAGCAGTTGGGACTACAGCTGCATGCCACCATGCCCAGCTAATTTTCTGTAGAGACAAGGTCCCCATGTGTTGCCCGGGCTGGTCTCGAACTGGGCTCAAGCAGTTCTCCTGCCTCAGCCTCCTGAGTAGCTGGGACTACAGGCATGTGCCATTATATCTGGCTAAGTTTCTTTTCTTTTATTTTTTTGTAGAGATGGGGTCTTGCTATGTTGCCCAGGCTGGTCTCAAACTCCTGGCCTAAAGGAATCCTCTCACCTTGGCCTCCCAAAGCACTGGGATTATAGGCATGAGCACACTTTTAAAAATTTTAAACACAAATCAAACCTCCAAGCAGTCTTGTAGAATGACAAATTTGAAACACTTATACGGTCATGCTTATAATCACTCTGCACTCATCTACTGTCTAAATACAGAAATATGTGATGTCAGACAGTAGAGATAGGAACTGCACTCAGAGCAAGCCTGAGACATCCCAGAGTGTTAGGAACTTACTCTTCATTGGCTGTGTGTTTCTAAGACCATGTGTGCCAGGAACAACTGTGATCTTTGAAGCGCTGTAAGTTAACTTCCATGTAGAATATGTTCATCAAAAGAGTAAATATTTAAACGTTCTAATCTGGAGGTTGCACATATATTATTAAACTTCAACACTTGGCCGAGTGCAGTGGCTCACACCTAGAATCCCAACACTTTTGGGAGGTTGAAGTGAGAGGATTGCCTGAGCCCAGGGGTTCGAGACCAGCCTGGGCAAAGTCTTGTTTTTGCTGCTGGCACCTGCTTTCCCAAGGTTACATCTCTCCAGGCTGCGTGACCACCAGCACCAGCCTACTTTCTAAAGGCCATGTCTTCAGGCTGCATGACCACCAGCACCAGCCCACTTCCTCAAGGTCACATCTCGGGTCACATGACCACCAGCACCTGCTTTCTCAGGACTACATGACCGCCAAACTCCACCTATGGGGTATAAGAGAAATCCGCCAAAAGAACAAGGGGGCTGGTTCTTCTCTAGGACCAGTCTCACTCTTGTTTCCTTTAATAAATTTCTTTTTCTCTGCTTGACTACCCAACTTGATCTCTTTTTCTCTGCACTTGCCTTATAGGTGAGAACTCATCTCTACAATAAATCAAAAAATTAGCCGGACATGGTGGTGCGTGCCTGTAGCTCCAGCTAGTTGGAAGGCTGAGGCGGAAGGATCACCTGAGCCCAGCAGGTTGAGGCTATGGTGGCCATGAGTGTGACACTGCACTCCAACCTGGGTCAGAGTGAGACTCCAACACACAGAAAGAAAGAAAGAAAGAAAGAAAGAAAGAAAGAAAGAAAGAAAGAAAGAAAGAAAGAAAGAAAGAAAGAAAGAAAGAAAGAAAGAAAGAAAGAAAGAAAGAAGAAAGAAAGAAAGTTCAGCACTTAAAACAATTATTTAGAACTTAGACCAGTAGATGATATAATCTACAGGACAGAGTATTTTATCCCTGACAGTATTTAGGTTTGCCATTGCACAGTGATAATAAAAAGTAATCTGAGACTGGGCATGGTGGCTCACGCTTGTAATCCCAGCACTTTGGGAGGCCGAGGTGGGAGGACAGCTTGAGCCCAGGAGTCCTTTGGTTTACCAGAAGGAAACAGAGTCCTAGGTCAGAAGGTCCCAGCTTCAAATCCTGGCTCCCCCACCCACTTACAGGGCTGGGATCAGGGTGAGGTGAGAAAGGTGTCCAGGGTGCAAAGTTTGGGGAGGGTCTCCCTCTCATGAGCACCTCTTGATATTCTTTGCTACAAGTACCTTGGGATCTGGTACATATACTCTTGCTTTTCTGGGCCTCAGTTTCTCCATCTGTTAAAAAAAAAAAAAAAAAAAAAAGACAGCCAATGTGTTCTCCAGGCCTGGGCCAGGCTTAACATTTAACATGAACATTTCTTAACAACTTAAGAAATACATCTGAAAAGTGAAACTCATGAACTAGCTCAACCAGGGCACAGCATATGGAAGCCATGAGAAAATATCTGCAGTTGAAGGGGTAAAGCCAGTTTCAGCCTGGCAGTTTGCCAACTCCCTGCCTGTGTTCCTGCCTTTGTGTTTTATTGCATCTGCCTCTTGCCAAGTCCCGGGCCTGGTAGTGGGGAGACGGAGAGGTGAAGCTCACAGATGTGATGTTACGTAGTGGGACAGAGAAACCCCAAACAGATCCTGACCCAAGCAGGGGGGAGTTGGAAGGGCAATGTTGGATGTCCTGGAGTGTGAGGGGACACTTGTGCCATGGGAAGACAATCAGTCAGGTGAAACTCCCAGTTCTGCCGCTAATGTGCTCTGTGGCTATGGGTAAGTTCCCTTGCCTCAGTTTCCTCCTTCAGAGATTGGGATTTGTGACAGAGCCTGATCAATGCCTATTCCAACAGCCTTCCTCCTTCCCCTCTCAGTCGCCGAACGCTGATTTTATTTGGGGTGGCAATGCACTCAGTTTTGCAGTTGGCATCACCGTGGCGCTAAGTTCCAGCAGTGAGATATGAGCAGAAGTGTCATGGGCCAGTTCTGGGACGGCTTCTTGAAAGGAAGGGCTTTGGTAGGGGGTGGGGGGATAGATAGCATCAGTAAGGGTACCTGATCTCAAACCAGGCAAAGTGGGGACCAAAGAGAGGCCCAAACTTTAACTGTATGCTAGCCACTTGTATACCTAATCCTGAATTGTAGCCCATATCTTTAAAATTACAAAAAATAAATAAAGTACAATAGCACCACCCCCAATAACAACAAAGGAAGGACTTCCCTTTTGTTCCACCACTCTCACTCCTTGTTTCCTTCTGCTTCCAATTGGGAATGAAGAGGTGATGGTGGGGTTCGGCAGCCACCTTGTACCATGAGGGTAACTTGAGGATGGATTTTGTTTGCAGAGGATGAAGAAAAAATAAAGAAGGAACTTGGATCCCTGATGACACCCAGAGCTGCCATCCATGTGCACCTTGGACTCTACCTATAGATTTCATTTATGTAATTATAACAATATGTGTGCGTGTGTATGTGTAGATAGATAGATAGAAAGATATGGACACTATTATATATATATATATCACAGTATTTTTTCCACATATATGTATCCTTTAAAAATATATATACCCGGCCGGGCTCGGTGGCTCAGCCTGTAATCCCGCGCCTTTGGGAGGCTGAGGTGAGCGGATTGCCTGAGCCCGCGGGTTCGAGACCCGCCTGGGCAGCAAGACCTCATCTCTACAATAAATCAAAAAATCAGCCGGGCATGGTAGCACATGCCTGTAATTCCGGCTACTCGGAAGGCTGAGGCGGAAGGATCGCCAGAGCCTAGCAGGTCGAGGCTGCGGTGGCCGGGAGCGGCCACTGCACTCCAGTCTGGGCGACAGAATGAGACTCCGACTCAAAAAAAAAAAAAAAAAAATATATATATACCCT